TCCATTACAATAAATATTGAATCCGACTAAAACTACAAAACATAGTTTCAAATTCTAAAACCATATCTAAAATACCTGGAATATTTACCTGGAGTATAAATGAATTCATATGAATGTGGGCGAATGACAACAATGATAAATGCGGTGCATGTCCCTGGTTTGTAGGCTCACCTCCACACTGCTCAAAACCTTCATACTTTGATGAACCTGTCACACATAGGAGTGGATTCATTCAATTATTTCAAAAATGATTAAGGATATTTTTAACTCTTACTGAATAAAATTACATTTACTTTCAAGTGACATCAGTTGTCCATGAATATGATTTATATAATACAACATGTTCTTTCAGGTTTCTGTTCACAGGTAGAAAAAACACTGCATTCGGCTCTGTGAGACCACTGAACAAGAGGAGATTCTTGCAAAAATAGAGAAGCACAGCATTTCATCTCATCTTAGCTTTGATATCTAAGGTCTCCGGTATTTCAGAAAAAATGTGGTATCCAATTCCTGAATCCAGATTTTTATCACACTGATGCCTGAAATATACGTGTGTTGCTGCCAACTGTCTGAAAGATGCATCTGTATGTGCTTTCTGACTGAATATCTTAGAAGAAGAAACATGGAGGACTTGCCAAGACATATAAAACTGTCCTAGACATCCTTTTTAAGAAATACCCTACTAGCCATTCCAAAAGGTTTTTGGGGATCTGACTAAGCTACATTATTCTTACAAATTCATGGAATGTGTCTTTGTTCCTTGGTTGCACTGACACCATGGAAGAATTAATTAAAAAAAAAACATTGTTTTGTGTTCTCCAGCATGTTGCTATCGTTGACTTCAAACCATTTATCCAGATTTAGTCAGGAAACACTATGCAGCAGTACAACATCAACAAAAAAAGAATCTTTGTCCCAAGAGCTGTTCATGTAATCTGCACATGAGCATCGCCTTTTAATGTATGAACATACATACATAATCCCTGAAAGAACACCTCCATAATCACCACGGTCCTCTCAATGCACAGTCTCCTATCTCATCACATCTCACTGTGCTTTCTGAGCATTTCTCAATCTGAGAAATGAGAAGTAAAGGTTTATCACAGGAAGACGTCTTTACTGTTTACTGTGGATGTCCTCATGCCTGATGATCTTGTAGGTAACCCAGTAAAAGACATTAAAGATGAGGAAGGCCAGAGGAAAAGCAGCCCTAGAGATAGTGTCTATCCTCTTGGCTCGGTCCACAAACTTCTTCTTCATTGTGTCGATGTCTTTGGGGACTGTCGGTGGAGGGTTGGAAGCTGGAGCAGCATTCTGAACAGCTGAGCCATCCTTTGTTGGCAGACACTGATTCGTGTTGTAGCCAGAGAAATTAAAGCGGCCCTCATGCATGTCATCATCCTGGAAAAAAACATCCACATGTGAAACAGTGAGAGTATGCTTGGGCTTTTTAAAAGGCTGCAGTTCAAATGTGCGTCGATTCTTTATGGTTACTTCACTTTGAACTTTCATAACATACAAAGACAAAATCTATCCAGATAGCCTAATGCTAATGAATGGTTAACCACTTGAGTATAATGTAAATCTTATGAAAGCATTGGGAATAATTGGGATTGTTAAATTGGTTTTATTACATTTAGTCAAGTAAAAAAAGTCATGCCAATCCATCCAGGAACAGCGATCCCTCTATGATAACAACAAAAATCCTTCCAACCCCAGAAATCTTCTACCCTTTATATTCTATGTAAGTCTTCAGATATATTTTTGTAGAGATTAGCGTATTGTGTATATCTGCTAAAAATTCAGTTCCATAGCTACTGAGAGATTCCAGTCTAGACAAAAAATGTGCTGGATCTGACCAATTAACCCTGCTATCCAGAGAGCAACAACGCTAGTAAAAAGTTAGGTAACCAAACAGCAACCTTGTAAACTTTGAAAGCCTACCTTGTGATTCCTCCTTTGTCTTCGCCTCAGGCGAAGGAACTCTTTCTGTTGCCTGGAGACAAAATTAACCCCAGCATATTCCAGCAATGCAGCAAATACAAAGAGCAGACACACAGCCATCCAGATATCAATGGCTTTCACGTAAGAGACCTAGGAGAGAAAACAGATTTCTTTTCTTAGAACCCCATGATGACAGCATTGGCTAACAGTTCAAGTGCAGTATGAAGGTGTGCTTTGACTTTAAATATTGGTATACACCTTTCTGTATTCATTCTGAGTCCTGGATCTTTTAGATCTACAATTATTTTTTTAAATATTGATTTTTATGCGAGTTGGAGCTCCTTAATTATTGTAATTAGAATTATAAGTGTTTGCCAACAAGTGTATTTGAGCTGCCAGGAATGTCAGCAATTGCATGGACGTACACAGCGGGAAATAATTGCTGCTTTAATTATCAGTAGAAAGGCAACAGTAGCATCAGTACCTCTAGAACTGGTTTTGATCTGTTTTCTATGAGCAAACAAGAAGACAATTGAGAGCCTTTCCTGCTCATCAGTGTGACCTGCTAACGTCATGACGGCTGATTAGCATGTGAAGAAAACAACTCAGCTTTTTCAGGGTACATGAAGCATAGTGAGTTATGGTTGTCATGGATCTAGCCTCTCAAAGGCTTCTCTTTAAATATTTATAGGTATACATGTCTTTTATGAGAGCCTCTGTGACATGGCTGAGGCATTTGGTGCTGATGTGGAGAGTGATTGATCATCAAGAACTGCTCTCAATGCTCACTACGTATGTGCACCACAGTTTACCCTGATTGAAAATAAGCTAGCACAGTATCAACATTGTCAGTAATGTACCAACATAATCAGTACTGTGATACAAATGTTTAATGCAGGGTATATTCATGATGTAAACACCACTGATCCCACTGGAGGTTGTGTGACTGCTTTCACACACAGAAAGACACGCACTTATGTCTAAGTACTTCAAACAGTCATAAACCATCCCACATATATTTCACTGATTGCTGGTTTGTCAACTTTGTGTTGATTTCTATTTTGGCGTCATACTTGTCTGAGTTTTGACTCAGTTCTCTGTCTGTCAAATATTGTCAGCATGTCATACTCAGAGAAACAAATAACACACAGCGCACAAATAATAGTATAATCTTATTCTGAGTTTTGTATACGTGCTGCTTATTAGGAATGCCATCATATACAGCTATTGAGAAATTGTTTATTTGCCTTTTAAATGTTTTTTAGTATCCTATTATGCACATTTCAAAAAAGCAAATATTTATCTATGTATATTTAGACATTTTTATACCCAATACATCATGCCATGAAGGATACATAAACAATAATGATTAGGTGTTGTAATGATGCTTTACCCTGTTTTATCTTTCAACTTTAATTTGCATTTACACGATTAATATTATCTGTCATGAAACCTTCCTGATCCCCTCATTCAATGATTCATTTTTTCTGTCTTGGCTTTTTCCTTTTCGTGCCAGTATTATCACCTGCCCACCAGTCCTGCTGACAACTCCAGCAGTATTTGCATTGATTGACTTTCACTAGTGTAACTGCCTGATTGGCTTTTGCACTTTGTTAAGCCGGGACCACTGCTTGATTTCCTGACTTTTACTCTTTGTTTGCACCTTGCCTGGTTTGTTTTTCTTTCGTGTCAGCCTCCATGTTTTTTTTCCTTTTTCTGTTTTTCTTTTTATCAGAACCAAATGTTTAACTAAAACTGTGAAAGCATCAAAAGTTGCAGTTTTGATCAAAACCCATACTAAAATATACCAGCTAATCTTTAAAAATATGATTACAAACAATACTTGCTTTAAGCTGGTCAACATCAGAAATCTATATACATATTAAATATGTAAAAGTAATGTGATTCGTGCCACCAAATCAAGAGAGGAAAATTGTGTTATTTTCTATGACAAAGCTGCGTCTGTTCCCAGTTTTTGATGGTTGGAAGTGTTTAAACTCAACCTGCAACAACATAAAATAGCATGCCAAAAAAAATCCATTCATTTTTCATTTATATCTGAACATCTGGGTGAACCTTATAGTTTAAGCATTAATAATGTGCCATTATTTATATTATTTTGTAATACTATTTTTCCCAAATGCATACAACCCTTGGTGCTTTTACGTTCCTATCTTTGCACCTTCAGTAGAGGATTAAGACACAACGATTTGATATTATCGCGGCGCGCCACATATCAGATGTGAAACAACTAAACAAGGCTAACCTTTGGAAGAGAAGCTCTAGAGCCTGAGCTCTGGGTTGTCATGGTGAGCACAGTGGTGATGCCCAGTGCCACTCTGGCAGGAGCAGCATCCATGTTAATCCAAAAAGACACCCATGAGAGGATGACAATGAGGAGGGAAGGGATGTACATCTGGATCAGGTAGTATCCCATCTGTCGCTCCAGATGAAATTTGACTTCAATGCAGGTGAATTTACCTGTTAGATAGCACATGTTTGATCAGTTACCAAATGAGGAGAAGTGACAGCACTGTGAAGTACAAACACGTGTGTGTGTTTGTGTGTTTTCTCTCACCAGTGTTGTAGTGTTTTGTACAGTAGCCTAGCTCCTTCTCGTCTCTCATAATGAACTGAGGCAGTGTGAGCCCATCTGACACCTGCACCGCACCATTCTCTAGCCACTCGAAGACCAAGTCATTCATGGTGTAGCCAACTAGAGAGAGAAAGAAAAAAAATGAATTAAAAGAAGTAGTCAGTGTTCATGTGACAGGTGAAAAGATAATTAACTGATAGGCTACACAAGCATTGAAAGCTATTAAATAACTGGTTTGCAACTATTCTAAAATCTGATAAGGGTAAACAGATCATACATGAATAAACAGTAAAAACCTTTACATGCTCAAAATGCTTAAAATGCTTGAACAGTGTATATTACGGTACAATGCATACTCCATCCTCTATTGTTAACTGCAGTAGAGTTAATCTGTGATCTTCACAGTGGTCTTATTCTTTTCTGAGATCGATTGCTTCTGTCTCCACCAACAAGCAAAGTGAAATTGCAACATTTTCCTCAGTCGGCAAAAGTTTTCGGTGACGAAATGTTACAAAATTACTCGTGATTATTTCTCCCATTTTTCAGGTATGTTACCATTTTTTAACATAAAAGCTTGGCTGCAGATCCAGGCGAACATGTCTGAGTGTTTAGCTAGAATTATGGATAGGTTAAAGCTGAGTTTAGCAGATAGTTGTAAAGCAGTAGTGTGAGGGTTTGTTTGCTAGCAGAGCCCCTGCTGGTCAGTGAGGAGAACTCATGGCATTTTTGTATTTTGAATATTTTGTAAACTATGAATTTAGAGGGAGTAATATTTGAAGAAATTATATTTAAGTTGATGGTAAATTATGTTTATTTTATGGTTGCTATGATAGCGCTTACATCTCTACTCTCTCTCTTCCTTCTAATAGATATGTTGGGCGGCTGTGGCTCAGTTGGTAGAGTCGTTGCCTCTCAACCAAAAGAGGTTGAAGGTTCAATCCCCAGCTGAGCAACATGCCCGATGTGTCCTTGCGCAAGACACTTAACCCTGCATTTCTCCTGCAGCTACTGTGGCAGTGTATGACTGAATTAGTGTTGTACCTACTCTATGATGTATGTCGCTTTGGATAAAAAGCGTCTGTTAAGTGAATTGTAACATATGTTAATTGTTTTGCGTTTTAAAAAAATGGCTACAGGCTACAGGTTCCTCTGTGAAAAAATGATTTCATGATCATTTCACCCGATTTTTCAGGGGCGTAACACTTACAACTTTCCAGTTGCATTGTACATGTCTGGACATCCATCGGAAAGTTCTTCAGATCCATTGGGCAAGACAGAATCAGAGTCAACCTGAGAAGCAAGACAGCAAGAGACACAGTAAGATACATTGAATGGACTACATCAATTTGACTTTAAAGTAATTTATTTATTAAACCTTGATGTAGTGGTTGGACACATGAATTGAAAATCAAATGCTTAAAAATTAAATCCCAGTCAGTCATTCCTTTTTCTTTTCAATCTCAGTATTGTGTGCTTCTTTCTCTTGTGTGATACCCTGTGACATATCATGTAGGACTCCCTTCAGCAGGTTCCTATCACGCTTTCATTACTGCAAGGGATTGTTTCTGTGATGCATTGTGGTCCACGGTCCTCTCTCTGTCTTTTCTCTCAGAAATGGAGAAAGTGGCTAACCACCTTTCATCTCTCCCGTTGACCTGCTCTGCCTCCACACCTGAGCACCGCTCGGCCTCGAGCCGTTCCCTAAATGGACTCAAAATTGATCTGCTACATGTCACATCAGAGCAGAGAAAATTGAATGCGGTGAGAGATTGAAGTTATATTGAAATGGAATGAAACATATTTTCATAACTTGCACTTAATTTTGCTAGAATTTTGAGCCTGTAAAATGTCATCCATCATGAATAGATTGCATTTTTCAGGTTGCAATGCTTTTACAAAGGACCGGTATTCTTGGTGTGGGTAAACCAACATGAAAAGGACTCCCACTTCCCTTTGGTCTCTTAACAATGCCCCTGAGATTAGTATGCCCTCTTCCAATCAGTCTTCCCTTATTGAAAATCTACATTGCGCATGGGGATGTACTGTAGTTCAGTGAATAATGCCTTTTCAAAGGAGTGATTGTGATGAGATAAAATCCATTTAAAACTGTGTCTTTTACATTGAGGCTCTTTGATGTTTGAGAAGAAATGTAAGAAAAGAAATAAGTGAACATGCCCTGGGGTGGTCTATGCGTCAGAGCTTTCGGTTCTCTACAGCATCATTTTCAACTGAGCTCTGAATCCTACCTCAGCTACAGACCTCCAGTGCCCAACTCAAACCTATTTTAGTTATATTCAGTTAACTTTTGATTTATCAATTCTATAAATAACTGATTCAAATATTGGACAGAACTGCAAACACTGTGGTTTTGTGTGACTGAAAACATTTTGAAAAACTGTTTACAATGTCTAATATTATAATAAACACTTCACCTTATACTATAGAGAACCGTCCCATCTTTGAAGATCCGTAGCAGCTTGTTGTCCGTAGTTACATCGTGAAAATTGGCGCCTTTCTCATTGGCAAAGAAGAGGTCGGGCTTCCATATGGAGTCCAACATGGAGGGGTCCAGGTCGAGGGAAGAATCTGGGTATTTACTATAAGCTAGTCGGGGGTCATTCCACTTCTGCCGTAGGAAGATGTTCACTCTGTAATCCTGCAGAGAAGACAAGCAGCTTTGCATATTTTATAGAGCAATGATATTGGTTACGTGAAAGAGTGTGGACAATCTACGATGTCCGTCTTTTATATCATTCATTCTTTGTATGTAGTAATTGGAAAGTTGCATGGGTTATTTTAGGTTTTCATAATGTTTCTGCACAAAACTGCATCTATCATGGATAATTAAAAAAACGACATGCAAGCATCTGTACCAAACATATGAAAGTCAAACACATGTGTTTACGTGTATTTCTAGTTAAACTACTATATTAGCTGTATTTCCTGACTTGGGTACAGTTCTAACATACTCATTATTTTCTTGTGTTTCTCTTTAATGCTACTTCGTAATTCACTTTATCTCAAAAATAATTATTTCACTTTCCACTTAGTAATTTACAATACATTTCTTTAACAGCTACTATTTTTAATTAATTAGTTATTATCTTCTGCTAACAAAATCTATGATCAGTTAAAAAATATATAATATGGAGAATGAGCAGAAAATGAGTTCCAATGCACACGTAATATATTCTATATAATTAAGCATTTATCCTCTTAAATGTCATGTGTTTACACAGCCAATTTGATGATTTTCTGATGTTACACTAGCACTTGAAGAACACTGACCTTATAATAAAGTTTCATATTAATCTATATTATGTAGGAGTCATCATAGAAGCTAATGATGATTTTATAAGATGTAGGGGCTGATGAGGGAAGCTCTTGCAGTCTAGTTAGTAAACTGAGCTCCACAAAGCTCAGTTTCTCGTTGTAATTGATATGTCATGATGATGAGAGAGCCTTATGTTGTTTGACATTTCATCAGCAAAATCCAAATATTTGCCTGTGTGTCTAAAGCTGTGTAATTCCTTGGCAATCTATGAGCTGCAGCTCCTGCACAAATTAACATCCTTCATTCATGATCTAAGTGGTTATTATCGCTCATTATGAATCCTTTGATCGTGATGGGTTTCAATGCAGCCTCACAGGTTTTTATATTTTTACCCCTCAAGCAATTAGACGCCTTCACACATCACATTTTGAAAATCAGTTTGTTTGGAAGCACCAACCCCCCTTTTCACTGTTACAGGAGGCTTAGCGGTTAAAAAGTATTATTTAACATGGACAGTAATATGTATAAATGGCATCATTGGAAAATAATCTAATAGTGACTGGGATAACCAGAAAACAAGCAACTCATTTATAATCACTGAGCCACATGGACCCGCCAATAAGCTCCTTGTTGGCAAAACAAAGAAACAAACAAAAAAACATGATGAATATGCCTTTAGACCTGAGCAGGGGTCAAACGAACATTTCCAATGCAACACTCAACTCACCATTGTAGTTTCAGCTATAGAACCAAAGCTGTTGATAAATATGTTGCAGGTAACATTAACTGGTGGACCTGCAGGTTGAGGGATAGATAACACATTGACAAAAAGTAAAAAATCAGACAAATTTCCAAAGAAGGAACTCACCATAGTAGTCCCTGTGACAGAGCCGAAACTGTTGATAAAAATATTGCATGTAACATTTACAGGGGGACCTGTGAAGGGGAATGACATGAGAGGAACACGCCTTAAACCACATCATCAAAGATGCCTGACCTGGAGCAGTGGCGACGTATGATCTGGATGTTTGGGTCGGTTGGCAAACAATCTGTTGTTTCACTCCGTATGCCTTCATGCACTAATAGACACAAGCACTATTTTTCTATAGAAGAGCGGATGGGTTATATGCTGCAACATGTTCAACACAAAAGATCATGGTAGGGTTTGAAACACACACTGCCTTGCATAAACTTCCTGGACTTTTACATATATTACAGTAAAATGATTGAGAACTTCAAAATGACTAATTTGAGCTTTTTACTGTTTGAATGGAAAAACAAGAGCATTTTAAAATGCAGATATTTGTTACATTCTCAAAAGTCAAACTTTTAATGACATCTTGCTTCAATCAATATAGGGTAACTATCTTATCTCTTCAAGTGATCTTATGCTGTGAACATACTTTTTGTCTACATCATGTCTTTCTGAAATGCAGAAGATGATACATGCAGACTGAAAAAGGCATGCACACATACTGGCAGTTATTTAGAGATGCAATGTTGATAAATTCATAATCAATGAAAACAATGTTTAAGGGCAAAACTACCAAAGATACGCTGGAAACAATGTCAAAAACCTGTGTTTAAATGACTGATCATTAACGACAAATTATTCACCAATGGCGATAATTATCAGTTCCAACTCTACAGTGATTAGTTGTACCTAATCAGCATTTTATATGCAACAGTGTGAGTGAAAGGAACCCAGCATGCTTCACTAAGTAATATCATTGTTAGGTCTGAACTGCAAGACAGGTTGACAAGTTTTACCATTTAAAGTCACAGAAAGTCTTTTTTTTGTCTCCCTCTTGTAAGTGTATAAACCGTGTAAGCCCTTCCTACTGTCCTTCCCCTGTGCTTTCCTCATCAATATTGCATGGCACTTGGTATTAATATTTGCCTCAGTTTGTAGTCAGGTTGCTACATTTAACAGCAGAAGCAAAAAAAATAAAGCAGCACCTCCTCACAACAAACTCAGCACGGAAATCTAGGTCAGCCTTCAGAAAATACAGTTCAACACTCTCTTCAAAGTCTGACGAGCAGGTTCGCAGCCAACATCATCTGTTTGCATCGCAGTGGGTTCATAGAAAAGTGTTTTGTTTACTAGCTAGAAGATTCTACCTGAAGCTTTACCTGCCCTAAAAAACTATGGATAATACCAATTTAAACGGCAACACTATTCTTTCTGCCTGTAATCCATGTTTGCTTGCGTTATCAGTATTAAAAACAGTTGCTTTCTCTTCAACCCTCACGTGAAAGTGCCAGCCCGTGCCAAACAGTCCGCCCCCCTCCCCTCTCCAAGTCTATTCCAGAAATCTTGTCAACACTTCCCCTCAGATGGAGAGGCAGGATCTGGGCCATGCGTTTGCTGAAATCCTGCTGCTCAGTCCCTGTGCTACACTGGCTGGCTGCTTGAACAACTACTGGAGTCCCCAAACCCCCCGACAAATCCCACCCCCACCTGACCCTGGCAGAGTGGCTTCTGGCCTGAGCCCCATGCAGGCTTGGCCAGCCCTCTTCTTGCTCAGCTCTGTTCCAGTGACAGATGCTGTGTGTGTCCCAACCATCACAGCAGCTTCTACTCAGGAAGTCAGTAGCCTGCAGCCTTACCACAGGGGCACCATCCATCATTTGTCCTGTCAAGGTGGCATCCTTGTGATATTTACACTAATTGTTTTTATTTCTGAATGATCATTGAGTGCAGATATGGATTATCTAACATATTTGTATTTACTAATGGACGCAAGCATGTAATGTCACGATGAAGGGTTAGTTTGGGATTTAATACAAGCCAGGAAAAAACAGGTTACTGTCATCTAATGTGATTGATTGTTTGTATCAAAGACACTGGTAGCATCAGATAACATTGAGCAGATCTTCAGATAAGTAATAATCAAAGTCTCACAGATTAAGTGATAAGAGGGATAGCAGGATTCTGCAAGCAAATGTTGGTAAAGATAATACGCATTGTAAAGTGAAGTATTACAGATATCCAAAGAACAGGTAGTGATGAACAAACCTTTAAAATTCGGTCTGATTCGTGCGTCATACCCGGACGTGCGGCCCATGAGAGAGTCCAGAAAGTCTGATGGAGACATGTTGGATGATCTGGAATCGTGCTCCTTAGCATCCACAACTCTGGAACAAACAAACTCACACAGTCAAGAGGGAAAAATCACTTTATCATGCTGAAGTCGCGTCTGAAAACTGGGATTTAAACCTTATCTGTCGCCCAGCAGCTGCCCGGGAGTGATGGGCAAGCACGGAGAAGCTGGGGAATGCGTTAAAGCGCACACATGAATCAGGCGAATCCGGTGTGATTTTGACGTCGTAGGCATCTCTTTTTTAAAGTAAATAGCTATATTTCTGTGTCATTATGAAAGGTTATTACACATATATTTCAACAACAATTTGATGTAGGATTTTTTTATGACGCCACAGTGGAATAAAAAAAATCGTTACGTCCGTAATGGTCACTATTATAATTGTACAGCAAACAATGTTGCACGTCATATATCTTTTATGAATATTGCAAGTACTCCCAAAAAAAAATCAAACAGTTGAAAACACACAATAACTTCGATGAAGCTCTGAAGCAATAACCAACTTAGTCTTCAGAGAAATCCCTGCTTTTTTCATAATGTTTCCTTAATCAGTGCTTAACTTCATTATCCTATTAAGGTTGATGGGTTATATATATATTTAAAATGTAAAAACCGTTTTAAGTGGCCTACCTGAAGCTTGTCTCCATGAAATATGTCATTAAAGCTGCAAAAATCTTTATAAAGCAGCGATTCATTCCTGGTGCTTTTCCCATGTGCTCACTTTTTTATTTCTTCCTTATGTTTACATTGGTCAAACACATAATCCAAATAGGAGCTCCGCTCTCTTCTTGGCCAGGTCGTGGGCGTTTGGGTGTTTTTGTGTCACACAAAAATACAGGAGACATTCCTCAACACAACAACAGATCATAGTTTAGTTGCTCGAAACTCCAAAGGATAGATTTCTCGATGCCGAGGTGTGGAGAAACATCAGATCTGTGGAAAGTCCAAAAACGCGTCGACTTGACGCTTCCTGCGCTGTCCCTGAAATTGAAGCTCGCTCCGTGAAGACAAACCCGTCAGCCAGTGTTGTTACTCATGAAGTGAGATATCTGGCAGGTGGAGGACCGTCCTCTGTTGAGAAATGGGAGTGGAACGCCTTTTTTTTTTTTTTCCTCATTTCAGCACTTGGACAGCTCCTGGCTCCTTTACGCGCAAGCGCAGGGCTTAAAAGTGGTATACGTGAGCTGGTTTTTAATCAATCCAATAACCGAGGAAGGTAATGATAGGAAACACACTCAAACATTGTGTTCAGTGGCTGTTACATAATGAAAGGTGTGAGTTTTAAATGTAACAGCCTTCTTTCTCACGAGAGGGCGCGCGGCTGTGCAGCGGGATCAACTGGCTTTAGAGATGTTTGATTTTCTTCTAGCAGCTTAATTAAGATTCTCTGGATACTTCGGGGAGTCTAATGCAAATGTACAACCTCTAGTGCAAATGAAACTTGGAACCTTACGTGTCGTTTATAATTCATGGATGCATCTGGGGTGGAATCAGAAATAAACAGATTAATAGACTAGTATAATTATACTTTTTGTCTGGTTTAGTCTGATGTCGATGACACTTGGATTTTTTTTTTTTAAGTGTAGTACTGACTTCCCATCCTTGTCTGTTTCAATCCACCGCCGTCCAAGCTCAGATATGAAAGGTGTAAACAAAAGACGCACTAGCCAGAAGCCGCTGGGAGAGTATTTGGTACCTCGGTTGCCCTGGAAACAGATTTCCGAGGCACATTGTTGGAAAAGCTGAAAGGTCCTCCCAGAGCGAGACTAAAGAGCTGACTGACTGACAGAGACACAGAAGACAGCAGGAAATGTAGCCTACTGCAGGTTAGCTGAAGCCCAAGGGTGGAGGAATGGCATTTTTAATAGGCCATGACACAGATGTAGTAGGCTAATTATTATTCACTATATGTATAAGCTGCTGGTATTGATACAGTATAGTTGCAGTTTGAGATAGTGAGTGGGATGAGAAGCTTCAAGAATGACTCATTCTGCATGTGCTGTGCAGGAAACAGCTAAACTTGGAGAGGAACAAATATTTCATTCACACCACAGCCACCTACAGGCACACTGTGGTGTAGTGAGCTCAATACTATGACATGTTATGGGCAATATTACACCTGAGTGTGACACTTTGTCACTGACCAGGTTCAAGATGATGCTGGCCCATCTCAGACGGAGGAAGAGTCATCCTCCTTCTCTCCAATTAGCAGTGTCACATTGCTTGTGGATGTAAATGTTTGACTTGCTGTTGAGTAGGTGTAATCAGAAGTCTTGTGCAAATATATTCTTGTCATGATAAGAAACAACTCACATAGTTTGATATGGGTGACTTCAATGTAACATAGTACCTGATCTGAGGGAAAACTACCTTTAAAAACAGAAAGTTGCTTTAAAGACAACATTTTCTCACCTACAGCCAAAATCCTCTTTGCTCTCAAGTGATTTGTCCCCGTCTCTGAGAAAATTCCACACAGCTTGTCTGTGCCTACCAGAGCTTCAATTGGCCATTAGTTTCCATAGGGAAAGACTTTGGGCCAGGTGGGTCACATAATTAAAGGAGAACAAGTGTCATTTGGGGAGAGAGAGCAATACTGTACCCCTCTCCCTCTTTCTCTCTGTGTGAAAGGAAGGAGAGAAATAGAGCAATCCTTTTGACTAGAACAGTCTGTCTCTTTATCCAGCAGTTTCCACAGAGCTGTTCAAATTAAAGGCTCAAGACAGGCGAAGGCGTTATTTTAAATCTGCCCACACAGAAAAAAAAGAGATTGGTGGCTATATACTGCCTGTGTTCCTTTTGGGAATTAAGGGTTTTACATCATTGGATTTATTGTTTGTCTTAAAGGATTTGCAGCCCAATTTATTACTTTGAAATGGAACCCAAAACCTTTCCTCTTTTGTGTCCTATCTTTATTTAACACCCTAAAATAATATACTAACAGGTTATTATTTGCATCTAATGTTTTACACAGACAAAGAATGCAGTAACAAGCTTGATGCACCATAAAGTCCGGTCTGTTGTTATTGATTCCTATAAATAAGTGAGGAGTTGTGGGCCGACCGGATAGCTCACCTGGAAACAACATGCTGGCTCCCGAATGCTTATGTGCACTGGACTGGAGACA